AAAAAAAAACAGGCGTTACATTTGTCGGAGTATATCCTGTGAAGTGTTGGCTTATTGTTCATTGATTACAGCGGATTTGCAGTGTTGGCAGGCTAGGCCAGACGCTTGTACACCATCTTTTGTTTTGTCCTGAAGCCGTTTGCGAGCTGGATGGGGTTTATTTCATGTAACTTAAAAAAAGAAAAGACGTGATAAAAATATTAGAAATGACTCATGAAAGCTCATTTCTAACTTCCTTGATAAGACATGAGGGAAGGGATTCAATGCTGTCACATATTAGGATCATCAAAAATAACTAATACCCAACCCTCAGGTAGCAATTTAACAGCTCGTTCTCAACCCAAACCTCACTTAATGTGGATTTTAAATGTTGACATCTTTCCTCCATTCAGTGCATTTCACCTAATAATGAATAAAACATTTAAAAAGCCAACTTTGGACGACACGTTGATTCAATAAAGTCTAAGATGCGTCCATGAGAAGAAAAGCCAATACCCCCCCATCCCCTCCCCCATTTGCTGTACATTTAGTCAACCTCATCCATAGCTGTTCTGTATAAAAGAATGTGTGCGTGTGTGTGAGCGTACTTCCTTTTACCGATCTCGACTTTATTTTCAAACTGAAAAACAGTAGAATCGTGTACCTGTGAATGTTCTTCGATTTGTTAATTCAATGTTCCTTGCCTTTCTGCAAGTCAAAATGCTGTATTTAACATGCCACAGCGCTTATGCAATTGTACAATTCTTTTTTTAAATCATATTTTGAAGGGTTTTTTTGTTTTTGTACTTTTCTTTTCCTCGTCAATGTAAATTGTCGTTGATGACTTTGTGCTAATAGGAAGCCCTGTGAAGGAGGGTTTTCTGTACTTTTGGACAATGATATGGATTTGTGGGTAGAATTTTGGAAATTCGTTTCTAAGTGCTTTCAAGTATTTACTTGGCCTTATGTATATATATCTATGAAATTTCAGAAAGGTATGTATAGTAATTCAACCTGAAATGGATGTAAATAAATTATATATTGTTAAAAGAGGAGTCGAGTCTTCTTTTTATGGTACAGCTGACTAGTAACATGTACTATTTATATTAATATGTAAATATGATATCAAACTTTTCACTATGTAGCGTGTCCACTCTGCCTTTATTACAGCTTCTATTATTTTTGGAAGGCTTGACTTCAGTTCAAAGAAATCTGCAGGGATATTTTTCCACACCTCCAAAGTTCAGTCTTAGAAGTTGGTTGCATTTTTTGCTTCTCACGGTCCCAAGTAATCCCAAACGCATTCAGTGATGTTGAGGTCTGGACTCTGGGGTGGTCAGTCCATTATTCTGAGAACACGAGCAGCTTCATTTCTCAAGTTTCTTCTTTTATATATTTTTTTTCTCAGGAACAGCTTCTCGACAGCCACACATTTCATATTTAATCTTCTCAGGAATGACTAACTTGTATTTATATATACACACACACACAAGTAACACTTTTTTTTTATCAACTGATTAAATGTCTAACAACAATAACAACAACAGCAAATAACAACAAACATCATCTATAAATGACTTGCATCCATTTGCATAAAAATAGTTCTAATGTGAAAAAAAAGGATACAGCAGTTTTCATTTTGAATAAGATGCATCATGATAAAGTCTGTAGTTGCAAAGCTATTGAAAAAGGCACTTAATACAAGGAATATTTTAATATAAAAAATAAGAGGCACAGACAGTTATACTGCATTTCACTGGAGTGTTTGGTTTTTGTTAAAGTCAGAAGCATCTCAGATATAAAAGGATCTCATTGCCATTCTAGACAGAACACATGCTACATGCTATCTGCACGTAAACGATTCTCTTCAAAAGAACAGCAGCCACCACTGGAGCACAGGTGGAGCACAGGTGGAGCACAAGCTTGATGATGCAAACCTCGGCACACCATTTAGGACAAAACTCGTAAAGGACAAAATGGTCAGGGCAGCAGAGCTGAAGTGATTTTGAAAATGGGACTGATATTCAACGTGCTATTGGCAAATATCAACAGACACACGGCAGGTGTTGGGGAGTAATGATGGAAGCCAGTCTCTGTTGCCTTGTAGCACAGTGGTATTCAGTTCTAATCATGAGCCCCCTGTCTCCATGTTTTTCTTCCTTCTGCAACATAGCTGCACAATATATTAAGTGTTACTGCAATACTGACCTTTGTGATACTGATATCACTCAAGGCAATAACCTTTTTTATTACGCGCTCTCAGCATCCTGACCATTCACACTCCCAGATAAGTTGTTCTCTGGGTGTTCTGAGGAATCAGGATATTCATGTAATGAACAGACTGAAGTCAATTACCATGATCAGAATAGTGCAAGCTAGTGTCACATTAGGGACTTTTGTATGTCCAGCTACAGTAACCAGAAATAAATGTTATTGCCACAGCTGCCGAAACACTTCAGAATGGAGTGCTTACCTAATGAATCAGCCAAATGAATGTGCCTTATCAAAAATGTGCCTGAACTCACTGTTGAACTTGTTTTATCTAAAGTAAATCAATTCTAATACAAAAAAAAGTTAAATTAACTTGCTTTAACCTCACATTTTAGTGACTATGGCAAACTGTTTATGCCCAAGTAGAAAAACATTTTATTTCCAGCTGCTGTAACATCCTTACTACTGATTCATTAATGTGTTTTTCATACACTGCATCACAGTACTAGAATTTTGACCATATCATGCAGTCCTACGGTCCACTTATTTATAAGTCTGCTTGTAAAGAACTGTTCACATCAGGAGTGTTTAAGTCAGGGGGGCTCCAAGAAAGAGACTAAATCACTGTTACAAAGACTTGTTCCTGAGACTATTCCTGCTGCATCAGTTTAACATTTCAGACTTGCCCTGTAATACAGTAATATGTTGCCGTCTTCATGTGACATATCTATAGCATACAGTCAGTTACCATAGACAAATTCCTGTTTTCTTTTTTTTAAAGCTCAAAACAAGCAATAGAAGCCAATGAAAAAGGGTTTCAGCACCTGCTCACTGGGCCTAATTCACCAATGTCTTCCTAAGTTTTTTCTCAAATTTGTTCGTGAGAAAGGTCCTAAGAAAGTCTATGTCAGATTCATGACGTGTTCTTAAACCACAGAACACCTTTGTGCTCTTGAGTGTGTGTAGATTCTATTCTTACCTAAGAACAAATCCCTAATAAGAAAACACTGGTGAATGTCAGAATCTTCATGAAAACTGCATAAGAGGATTTTAAAAAGAAATTTCTTCTTAAGAACGGTTGGTGAATGAGGCCTACTGACTTCTATTGTAAGTGTTCAGAGTAAGTAGGAACTGCATAAAAACGACTGTCTGTGGTTACTGACCATACGGTACAGATGCAGTGGATAGAGATTAGGTTGAAACTGCTGGAGTAGTCTTTAAACCCCTGGCTACACTGAGACAAGCTAACCCACTGATAAGAGTTTTTGTAGGGGTGTAACGATACGCAGTTTTCACAATACATACTGCCGTATTCAATACAGCGTTAGAAAAAAAATGCTAACTTTTGCATTTATTGATTTTTTTGGTAAGACTACAGTGCTTTTTGAAGGGATAACTGGCACAAATCATTTTCTCGGAACAGAAGTTCAAGATCTATGTTACATATTGCAAATGTTTCTTTGGCAGCCGCGTGTTATTATGGCTAAATTGTAGTCTGTGAAGCCACATCTGAAAGCGTCAGATCTTGCAGATCTTACCTTCTGGCTAAATTGAGCAAGATGTGATTTCCTATTGTGGCTCACTCAGTCCTAGCCAACTGCAGAATCCAGAACTCTCTAGAACCTACTGGTGGCAACAATTAGAAGCAATAAACATCAGTACAGAGTCATTTATTTTACTTATTCAGAATCAGCACATAGTGGCTGCTTGAGTCTTGCCGGGAGAAGTGGTAGTTGCAACTCCCTGTGTTTATCCACCAGCTTCCTACTGGAACTTTCCGTTCCATCTTAAATGGAAACTGCTGGTCTTTTTAAGGTGGAATAGAAAACTGAATAAGCTGGCGAATAAGAAGCCAGCTACAGTTTCGCGTTCTCACTCAAGTAACCGACACATTTGGAAGATGTCTACACAAATGAGTTAGCACAGTTGAGGGGTATTTGATACTTGCGTTAAGCAGTGTTGGCACACTGTTACTGCTTGAACTGCAACACTTTCCATCATTATTGTACTCGACATTGGAAACTGAAGCGTTCCCAAACATTTTCAAACAGATTGGCTCATCAACCATCTAAGGCAGGCTGATTTTTCCAGTTCCGAGAGCCGTGCAGAGAAGTTTTAACCTTTGCATTTATCACTTCTTGGAATATTGTGTTAAATACAGCTATAGAAACACATTTTACAGCATGAAATCTGTATTCGATCGACAGTTTGTATTGGAAAAAATTAGGACAAAATACGTATCGTGACACCCCTAAGTTACCTTTGTTTAAAAAAAGCACACTTGCAGCGGTTCCTTAAAGCACTAAGTGGGGACAAACCAAGAAACTGAAGATAAATTCAATGGTAGCTCATATTCACGGTAGTGCTGTGTGCTCTACCAGATGCAATACTGCAAAACACAACTCTTTGGTCAGTTATAGGCCTTTCCTTTGCACGTCTTTTTAAGCAGGAGACACTGTGTCGGCACAACCCCGCTTAGCGTATGCAGGCCCTAAGCCTTTTCTTAATTAGAGTTACCTGTCGGATTAGCGCAGATAGATGTGGCGCACTCAGTATTGGAGGCACGTAAAGATCATTGGTCGGGTCAATATGAAATGGTCGCAATCAGTGCTAATGCACTGCTGTTCTGCTGCCAGGGGCTCTTTTTTCTTCCTCAGTGGTTTGCCATTACCTTAAGTACCCCGGCAGAGCAAATCAGGAAGCGGGGAAAACTAGGTCTGCGCTCCGTCTGGGGGCGTTGGAGGGCAATGCTAAGGTAGCAACTGAGTAAATTACAGTCTTACTGCCAGCTCTCCATACGCAGGGTAAACATGTTCTGGAGCTAAACTATACAGGGAGTGGCCAATCTCATTGTAACGTACAGCTGAGCTTAATCTGCCTAAAAGACCAGCCCTCAATGCTGTACTTAAACACTGTATGGCTCTATGGTTTGCCTTTGGCTTGCACACAATGCATCTGACGTGGCCTTAAATTCAAGATGAAAAATGGTAATCTCTGGAAAAAACAAGCATGTATAAGCATGTATTGGCAAAATGAAGAGACAGTGCAGTGGTTTTAGCCTGCTAGACATACATTAAAGGCATTTTCCGCCCAGATTTAGCCTGGTCTTGGAATAAAACACACCTTCAGTGGGGATCCACCACTGGAAACCATGTTCAGCCCACAATCAGGCTTAATCTCTCTGGGGAAAGGTGCCCTTCAGTTCATAAATACTGATAGTTTCCAACAGTGATGAAAAGCTAATCTGTGCAGGCTGAGTGGAGGGTGAGGGCAAGCTGGCCAGCTTCACCGGCCACAAGGCTGACATCCCTCTGTTACATGTGGTTGTAACGGCTGGTAACCAGAATAATGTCGCTGTCATAAGAAAACCAGCTTTAATACTATTTCAAGCTTACAATGTGTGAACGTTTAATGCTGAATACACCAACACAAGTGGTCCAAAATCCAATTACACTAACCATGCATCACACTGAAAAGGGAGTTCCACCAAAATTTCTGCACAATTAAGAAATCAAGTTATCGAGAGTAGTCTGATGTTAAATGCTCTGCTTAGAGAAATGTATAGAGTTCTTTACACTGGTGGTGACCAGACATCTGAAGAGTGTAATACCTCCTAAAGCTACCTCCTAGAAGGTTAGTACATGAAATGGTTATGAATATGCAGCCTGGTGCCTAAGACATTGTTTTACAATGGTTTTGAGATACAGGTTGGGCCTAAAATGCCAAGAAATATGGTGGAGAGATCATTTTAAGGCAAACTATTTTATTCTTTTCAGATTTCCCACTATTTTGCCATTATTAACATTAAATCTAAAACCTCAGAAGATTCATGTAGGTTCACTGGTCATTTTGGATAGTAAATAAAATGGCTATATTTGTGTTGCAGACCAGTGACCGCTGGTTCCTATCACCACCACTGTAAAGAAAGAATCAATAAGTTTGATGATGAACCATTTTACATCAAACCACGCTAGAACTGAATTATCTGAATTAGATTTTTTTTTAATTCCCAATTTAGAACATTTTTTTTTCCTATTAGTATTTCAGACACATAAGGTTTCTTTATGACAGCGACAATGATCCTCTCTGCTGGGAGAAAACCTTGTACATCATTTTATATTATTTATTTATATATATATTTATCTAAACATAACTCGAATCACTTCAAGTTTCAAGACTATTAAATCAACACAATGCAAAGTGTTCATTTCTAGTCCAAGCTACATGGCTTTCTCCCAACAGTGCCACTTTTGGTAAAATCCCATGCAAAACATCGGCCCAGTACTCTAAACACCACTCTCAATTTTATATGTTGCTCCATCAGAGCCCTTAGGAGTGCACCAGGCCGAAGGATTTAGGTGAAGTGTTCTCTCTCTTGTAGCTGGACTGTCCTCCCTCACTGCCACTCGAGCGCTGGAGCTCAGCTCCTCAAAGAGGAGAGAAGGCGTGACTTTTACACAGAGGCTTATCCTTCTTCGAATAGAATGTCTTCCCCTCCAGATTGATATGGCAAAGCTGCAGAGACGGGGGAAGAAGAAGAGGATAAAAAAATAAGATTTAAAAAAAGAATAAGAATCCTCATCAATCTCAAAGAAGGAACACAAAGGAGGATATTCTTGGCAAATAGCCGGGGCTGTGGAGGTAGGGGGTGGGGGGGGGGTTATTCCATTTGAGCCCATTCGGCCGACAAACATTTCAGGGAGAAAAATCTGAGGTCAGGAGCCAGCGAAGAGATATTTTTAATGGTTCTGAAGGCATTGTGAGGGACATGCAGGAGCTGAGAAGAGAGTACAGGATGAATCAAAATGACTTACAGCACAGACGAAGCATGTGTCGTGCCAGCTGTAGCCTAAGGCCTCCAGGAAACGGTCACCAGCATCGATCTTGAAGTCACAGCCATGACATTTAGTGCCAAACATCTTTTCATAATCTGTGAAGAAAACAGAAAAAAAATTGATTAGCAAGGGTGAGCAATATGACAAAAACTGGACATCATGATTCAGTTGGCAGAATTACTAATGCCTCAAACCTCATTTGAGAGAGTGGGTTTCGCAATTTACTAAACAGCAAAGAAAACATACAAATGGACTCCTGGCCAATTCAAGCCTCACTTCTCACTTCCAGCCCAGATAACCCAACTTAAGCTCCCTTATAAACATATTACGAGAAGAACCAATTCACTGGAAAGGACAACAGGTAAAAGATGAAGAGGATGACTAGCAACATGATGGACAGACACAATCGAAGATATCATGAACAAGCCATTAAGAAGTTTGAAGACCTAAACAGAAGACAGGACATTCTGCAGACACTACTGACTACTGGCTTGGATAGATTTTCCTGGATGGGTAATTAGCCACGCTGTTTCAAATGGCAAGTGGAGGGAGTAAGCCTGACTCGCAAGAACTGAAATCATCTTGAATTTATCTCCTATTTGGGAACACTTGGGTTTTCCAGTTGAGCACAAACAATGATGGGCAAAGAATGGTAGATCAAACAGTGACAGTATGGAGACATTACCCAGTACTAGTATCAAAAACCTATGCTAATACCTCAACTATGCCAATTCATTTTTAAAGAGATCACCCGAATGTGTCTGGAGCAAGGAAACACAAATCATATTAAAAACAGAAATAAATAACTATAAATTAAAGAAATGATCAAATAAGTAAGTAAGTAAGAAAGAAAGAAAGTAAATAAATAAATGTCACATTACATGTTGGCCTTTTTTCCTAATGCTGTCAAAAATGTATCGTATTGATATTGATGATGCAGTTTCACTGGTATTGTTGGAAATATCGCCAACAGTGCGCTGATAATTATCAATATTTTTTGGGTCACATCATCCTTAAGATTTAAACTTGTAACCTCCTGACAACAGGGAGAAAACCTCAGATAGCTGTGCCACTGGGGAACACCATGTTCAACTATCTGACAGCAATACAGGCTAAACTAGTGAATGTGAACACAGTTTTAATTAAAACTACTGTTGTATACAGCAGTTTTACAGTGCAGTATTTACTGTAGGAAATAGACTCTAAAATAAAAAGTTGATCTAATCACAATACACGTTTCTGAGGTTTGCTAACAAGTTGGAACAGATAGAAGTGCTCCATCAAAACAGCAGTGTCATATTAAAAACTACTCATATTTTAATAAATAATTATTAAAACGGGAGGGGTAAAAAACTTGTCAAAATCATTCAATAAAATGTTAATGCAATAACTGATACTTGTCATAAACTGATTGTTGTTTACTGATGAAAAGCATATCATCACGTAATTGATCATAACAATGATTATCATCAAACTGCCCACCCATAGCTATTAGAACGGAAGAGGAAAGAGCTTGGTCAGAGAGATGAGAGACTATTTCAGACAGAGAAAGTTATCAAGAGAGAGAAGAAAAGGGGGATTACATTAGCTCCGTCCATGCAAGCAGGGCCGGAGGCTTTGATAACACAAATTGCTCCAGATGTCTAAATGCACTGTCCCAGTTTTTCTATTACTGGCTGTGGAGAGGGTTTTAAAGTGGCAGGCTTAGGGGACGCTAATCGGAGGCCGTGGTTTTCGAAGCCAGTCCTTTTACCATGCTGAGACTGCAGCTATTTGATCAACACTCAACTCCTGCTTCCTAACAGAAACAGTCAGCGTCTCTCTGCCGAATGCTGACACAAGAACACTCGAGATGCAAAAAGGCACTGACCGCATGCTTCATTTCCATAAAAAAGAACCCTCGCCGGATCTACACAATTTAGACTTCTGGGCGTGTTAGATTAGGAGGGAAAAACTGCAATGGGAGGAAATTCAAGTCACATTCGCTGAGAGGAAGAGTGAACAAAAACAGAGTGGGGGGAAAAGGAAGTTTTACCAAGAAGTGGCAAATTCTAGGATAAAAACCAGCCAAATAGGGCCAGACCGGTATGAAAATGGTGAGAGATACGGATATTGAGAGCTACAAATCCTGATAATTGATATTAGCTTACAAAATTTCATCTGCCAAAAATTAAACAATAGTTTAACTGCATTTTATTGACTGATACAACTGTCTGTTGACCACTGTGAACTGATTGTTTGCAAAAGTCCAGCCTCCCTTAGTTACTGTCCATCAAACTTTCAGTTCAGGCTATCTGGCAGCATCTGTAACGCTTGTGCTAACAGACTAAAAACTCTCCGAGGAGTATGTTACTGAAAAATAACCTGGCTTTATGCATGGTTGTCAGTCTTGAACAGTCAGATTTCTTATATTCATACAGCAGAAACCAAGTCTTAAATGACAAATGACAAAATCCATAGCACACTGGGAAGAACTGCTAAAAACAAAGCCGCAGAAACTCAACAGGCTGGCTATGTGAACCAATGTCAGTAGTGTTTCACCATCATTTAAAAATAAATAAAGTAGTCTATGCTGGGTTTTAATCTTGATCTGGAAAACCAGCCAACATCACCCAACACAACCAGCTAACAAATACAGCGGTCAGGCCCTATGAGTCAATACAGCACTGTGAAAACTCCAAAGACTTACATTAGACAAACAATGGAGCTAATCAAACTCTTTAAAAAGAACTGTGGGCAATAAATCACTCCTAAGTAAAACGATCATGCCCATAATCTGACCGGTAGCAGAAAGGAGCTGAGGAGGTGCTGCTGGTCGATGCCCGGGGCTCGGGGCACGGGGCGAGTTTGATGTCTGCAGTGAAGTGGCAGTGTCTGAATGATTAAAGGCAGCGGGAGCCGCAGGCCCCAGCTCTGCGGGGGCTGTCGATACAATGTGCGGTCAGGCATGAGTGGCCGTGGCTGGGGCTCTCACCTCTCTCGCAGTAGGGCTCTCCCTCCTCCATGTAGAAGGCCTGGTTCCTGATAGGCGTTTTGCAGGCGGCACACAGGAAGCACTGCACGTGGTAGGTCATCTTCAGGGCGTGCATGATCTCCTACGGAGACAGAGGAGAGAGTGGGGGGGGGGTGAGAGCTGCTCACGCCATCTCTCCAGTCACACACAAAAATCAGGCCATCTCTCTCTCAAAACACATGCATTAATGCAACCAAGTCACTCTGCTTAACTCTTTAAACCACAAAGGGGCCTGTATGTGGGTCAACCCATCAGTTTGTTGCTCCTGTTAAAAAATAAGTCTACATTTTAAGGATTTATGCACTGCCCATCATAAGAAAGGACACACTTCAAGTTTTTTGGAATTCTGAATACTGATGCTTTTATCTTTCCAGTTAGTAATTGACAGTTTTTGACATATATATATAAAAAATTATTATTAAATCTACACGTATTTTACAATTACAAATTCAGTATGCCATCATATGCCAATTCTGAACACCCCTGGTCAAATCACATGTTAACTTTCTAAGTGAAAATAAGTTAACATACCCTCTCTGGTGAACAAACTTAAGTATGGCATTTTTGTGCCAGTTTTAGTGCATGACCTTTTAATTTAACATATTACATTTACCAAAATATTAAAATGTTCCATAATTTGTGCAAAGGCCACAACTTATGTTTTATTTCTTTCCCCCCAATAAGTTCAATTCAGCTCATAAACAGAAGTAAGTGTGTGCTCTCTGTAGAGGACATGTTAACTTATTTCCAACTACAACATCAACAAAACATGTAATTTGTCCAGGGGAGCCCAAACCTTTTCATCTAATCTAGGACAGTTTCCACACACAAAAAAAAAAACAAAGAATAAATTAAGAATAAATGAAGATGTCAAGGTTTTAAAATGCACACATTAACACCAAAGTTAAGTTTCACATCAGAGCTCATGGATACTCTTGTAGTTTCTTCACCCATTTTAATGACTGGAGCTCCAAGCTAAAACTGCACAGCTTCAGCTCATGTGCACAGATGAATCTCCTCATACTTCATGTCTGTGTTGCACTGGCTAAATGAAAAAACGATAACTCTGTTGAGGTTACTACTCAATTCATTGATTTTTTCATCCACTGCACCTTATGTTCATAAATGTAACAAAAAAATAAAAAATTACACTACAGTGGACTTTCTGTGAAGTGCATTAATAATAATAATAATCCATAATAAATCTTTCACTGTGGCCTCAAGATTCACTGGATTGGAGGATTTTTTAAATTTTTATATTGGTCTACCCCTGAATTCTACTTACTGATTTTATGATTTCTCAAGAATCATCAATAAATAAGTGCTCATAGCCCTGAACAAGCACTGCAGAGTTAGCTTCAACATTCAGCTCCATGCTCCTCAAAGTATCTTCCTTGGTGTTGCCAAAATAATGACCTGACAGTTTTCTTTTCCAAACTGTTGCTAAAAGCAAACACTAAAGCTCATTTGGCCAAAAGCAGTGGGCGCTGACATTATTCCAAAGCTTGTATTACCATTAACATTGTCAAATCTGTGAGTAAGTCTGTGAGTAAGTCTGACAAACCTAAATATTGCTGCTGCTGGAACAAAACCTTGTATCTCCAAAATGACACATTTACAGGTGAAGCAAAACACAACACATTACATACAATGTAAAGGGCAACAGGTATTTTCAAATTATGTCAAAAACTGAAAAACGACAAAAATGTAGATATGAGGTTTTGTTCCAACAGCAGTGATATCAAACTGACAAAAACAAGCCCATTTGTATTAGAAACCATTTGAAAAAAAGCTAGGTGTCTCCAAAATTGACAGGCAGTGTCCTTTGAGAGAGCTTATTCTGAGGGAAAACGTAAACAAACGCACACCATATACAAATGTTTCCATTTCAAACATTAGAGAAGAGGCTGCTAACCATTTCTGTGGTTGTTATTACGTGAAATGCTTAGGTGTAGTTTTGTTATACACTGTACACTGTAATAGAGTCTACCCTGTTGAGAATGAGTGCTTTCCCCCCCAATCTCCGTGCCTGTGCTGAGTGCACTTTATACCTCACACCGAGAGCTGCCCGAGTGCTCTCGCAGCATGGCAGGACGGAAATTGAGAAAAGGCGACTGAGTGCTAACATTTTCACAGAACCCCAACCCTTTCCCCCCTCTAACAGCCCTGATGTGGAAGACTGGATGATTATATTGTGAATGTACTCACTCCGGTTATCTTCTTCGTGCATTTGCCGCAGTTGGGGGCGTAGCGATTGTCGTAGCACTTGGTGCAATAAACGGAGCCTTTTTCCTCAAAGAATCCACCCTCGTCCAGCATGGCTCGGCACTGACAGCACGTAAACTCCTCCGGGTGCCAGGAACGGCCCAGAGCCACCACATAGCGGCCCCTGAAACACAGCAGCCGGACACACACGTAAACAAACACGCCCCCTTTTGCTTTACAGTGAAAGGGTCACTTGCGGGATCAACAGCAAAGGTTTAGCACTTGTAAGAATTCAGAGAGCACTAGCTGCTCTAATGGAAATAGCAGGTTGCTCGAAAGAAACCTGTGTCATTTCGTATTGATCGTTCATGGCAGAAAGCTGGAGGACATCGTCCCATTTTAGTACACGGGGCATTCTGAGAAACGTTACTTTCTTTTGAAGTTTTGACACAACCTTTTCATTCCGCCCCAGCTCTGCCTCCTCTCCCTCACTAAGTATTGACATTTACCTCCACATTCCCCCATTGATTTCTACTCTTTTAGATACTTGCAGCACTTTGCCTCACGACTGGAGCCACTCAATGCTGGATATGGCAGAGAAATAAATAAATAAGGCTTCTAGTGTCAGTTCCTCAGGGTGACAGCAGGGGGCGCTGGAGCACTGTGCTTACCTGATGATCTTGTTGCATGCGGCGCAGAGCGGGGTGCGGCCGGTGCTTTCGGCCGGGTTCTGCTGCGCTGCCTGCAGGATGGAGCTGCGGTTCTGCATGGGTGTGGGCTGTGCTGGCTGGCTGTGCTGGGTCACCACTGTGCTCGTCTTCTCTGGGTGGTAACGATCAGCAAAGTTTGGGTCCGTCACCCAAGGGGGGCGGCAGGCTGGCCCAGAGCTGGCCGGGGGCTTGGTGGGAGCTGGAGCTGGGGAGAGTAAGGAGAAAGTGTATTAGCAGACTCACCTTCTCACTACAGCCACTATTGTTCTCTAAGAAGGCACTAAAGTATGAAAGAACTTTTTCTGTTTGTTGGAAATACGTAGTAGTATACAAAAGTCAGAGACCACCCACCACTTATTTAACTTCAAGTTAAAACGACTATTTACTACATGTCAATTTTTTTTGAGACTTTTATGAGGCAAATTAGATTTTCCAAAAATTCAGGTTCAAATAATTATTAGAAGATCTAGATAAAAATTGGGCTCCTAACAACCATGACAGACCTGGTAGACCACCAAAGCGTCCTCATCAATTAAACAGCACTTTCATCTTAGAGAGGTGAGAAAATCGAGCTCCACTCTTGCTTCAGATCTGATAAAATTCACACATTTCTGTCCATCCTCCCACTGTGAGAAGCCGTTATTGAGCAAAGAAACGGAAAGGAAACTTGCACATCAAGTGCAAGAAGTGGTGTTTTGAGAATGACCACCCCAGAGTTCAGACCACGACATCACTTAGTGTTTGAGATTACTTAGCTTGTGAGAAGCAGAAAATGCAACCAACTTCTAAGACTGAACTTTGGAGAAAGAAAACATCCCTGAATATTTCTTTGAAAAACTAAACGCGAGTCTCCTGAAAAGAACGTTAACCGTAATAAAGGTAAAGGTTGGACATAGTAAACATAGTAAATGTGATATATGTAGTTGTTGAGGCTTCTGTGCAATTTTCGGTGATTTTTTCTTGACGCTTAAAAATGAAACTTGTATTTAAAGGCTGTTTCTACTAGAAATTTAAACCAATGACGGGTTTTCTGTGATTTCTCTACAGTACTGTAGAAATATGAATGCTTGAGCTAGACTGAAACCTGACTCATCTTAAAATGATTTTCAAATATATGTGCAGATATGCAGCAGACACGCAGGGTCATTTTTCCAATTTTGCGCGATGCACTTCAGCCAATCGTTTCAGTGAGGCCAGCAGGAGAACAGCAGGCGTATCAGGTAGTTCCTCTCACCACCTGAAAGGTTAGATTTATCAGAGAATGCTGCCCACTTTGCGATCACTGAGCACACCGTGAGTGGTGTGAAAAGGGTCTGAGTTCTAATGGAGTTGTGGCCTGAGATCTCAAAGGACCAGAAAGAAAACAGTTCTTTACAGTTCACTTACATTGTGAACACAAAAAGAACTCAGGTCATTTGCAGTTGGTTCCTTTTCAGGTTCACTTTAACAAAACTCAGCTCGGTTCATTTAAAAAGAACTATATATGAAAACACCCTTAGGCATATCTCTAAGTCAAGCGCACACTAATACTTATCAAGCTATTAAATAGAGATCATGGGAGGTCAGTTTAGCTAGAGTTAATCTATGGATCCATCAATGAGGCTTATACTGTCAGCTGGTATTTCTGTGGGACAAATTACCTCGAGTTCCCTCGGGTTTGGTGGCTGGTTTGGTCTTGCTGGGGCAGGGAGGGACGCCATGGCTGTGGAGAGAAAAATAATCCTTTTCAGAATCAACTTCATTAGGGAAAAAACAGCATTGGTGCAGGCCAATAGAAAATGTTACAGGCCCATATCAAGTCTGGCACGAACATCCTGTTCGGAAGGCTCACGCCCAGCCAAGTCAGCAGGTTAAATCATTTTATAATGAATAATCAGCAGGCCTGGCCTGGAGGAACAGGAAGGTGTTCTGAGGTTAATGACGCTCAGCCACAGTTTGGTACGGGTAATTATGTTGGTACTCATACACTGGCAACCCTCCACCTTCCCCAAAGAAAAATCTGCTTTGTACAGATAAACATTCCTTAAGTTTGTTTGAAGCTGTTGTTCTTCCGTATTACTGAAAATGAAATTACTTCACAAACTTCGAAACTTTTCCATCTCTGAGAAATCTTAATCAAGTCACCTACTATACTCCCTTTTTTTCCCCACATTCTAAATGATCAACCTCATACATCACTTGCTTCTCAGGTTCAAATACGCCTGTCTTTGTGCGTTTTGCCATTTCTTAGACTCGATGAGGCAACAGAAAGTCAGGTTTGATTAATGTTCTGTGGATTGCCTTGAGTAAAATTATTGTTCATCAGCACACGCTTGTCAAAGCAGTCTGCAGCACTCAGACGTGACTGGTCTCCTTTTTCTTTTCATTACTAGAAAAGGCTTTCATAACAGTGCATGCGACACCTACCCGACAGATACACCAATGAAGAAAAATGACAATGTTTGATCTCAAACGAATGCGGTTAAAACTGATAAGGCTGGAGCCTTTAAAGATATATTCATTTGTTAAGCAGCTACAGTAATTACACTTGTAATTAGAGTATTTGTGCGTATGCCTAGCATTTCCTTCACAAAATAACACTTTGAAATCAAGCCAAACATGAACCGTGCTTTACTGCTATCTACAGAGAATGGGAAATGATGCTGTAATACTCTTTAAAAGGAACAGTTTCAGGGAAAAATCGACAACGTTCCCCCTTATCCCAAAAGTAGTGAACCAGCCAAGACATATTTGGTGTCTGAAGTTTGCTCCTTTAGTCTCATACTAGAGTTACGAGGCTAATACAGCTAACCATTAATGGTAGTCTGTGTCACCCAAAACACTTTTGGGTGAACTAGAGCTTTCACCTATTACATTAGTTCCCGCACTAAGCTAAAGGAAGTTTGAACACCAAAACACATCTTGACTGACTGATTACATTTGCGGCAAGAGGAAAATCGTACGTCTGATTTATCACCAAACCATTCAACACTCAGGTCAGGTTAAAAAAGAAATAAAGAAAAATGAAGCTAAATTGCTAAAAATTAAATATTAAAGCTTACCAGTATATTTAGTTTTTTCTACAGAAAACAAGCTTTGAGAAGTAGGATGCTAGCATTACTGCAACAGAGCACTGATTAGCCGATTGGCTGAGTGAAGTGGTTTGCTCTCACTGATGTTATGAATGTACATAAAGCACAGTTAGAAAGTTCTGTAACTATAACTATAAATACACCAGCAGTGTTAAAATGCTGTGTTCAGACCAAATCAGTGCAATTTTCTACACAAAATATTTGAGCATTTACAAACTATGATTCTGCAAAAAAGCTCCATAGAAGTCCATTCATTTTGGAGTTCATTCATTTGGGAACGCCCTCTAGCATTTGACAAACCTGGAAGGCATTAGACAAGTGGCAGTTCTCCTCACTACACATTCTCTGGACGTGCAGTTAAATTATGCGACAGATGTCAGAGGCTTTATTGCCAATATGGCTAAATAAGTTACAGTAGCTGATGTTAACAGTGGATGCAGCTTTCTTAGACATACTATCATGTTGGTACATAATCTAGCATCTAGTATTGTACTGATTTGCTGTGACTAGCTTATCTGAAGCTTGTTACTCATCCAAAATAAAAACCTACCAATTTCCCATGCTTGTTTTGGATAATAAAACATGGTTTAAAACATTCCTCTTGCTAATTTTTATGAAACACCAGTGCTGTTACCTAAAAAGGTAAGCCTGCAGCTCTATGTAGCTTTTACACTTTTTTGGTGTTTTTTCCCCCACTTCAACGTTTATCTGTTTGGTAATCCCAGTTCATCTGTTTGGTAATCAAAGACCAAAACTAGTTGGAATGCACATCCCTCATAATAACTGATAACAGGTTACAGGGGAGTAGATACTGGAGTAGGATAATATATCGCCTCTTAATTGTTATCGCTGGCATCACAGAAGGCTGTAATATGCAAATAAGGCCTCTAGCTAATCACAATATTACTTAATTGTGAGCAACTTGATTTAATGTGTCAGCATCCTGACCAATCACAGTCCCAGAAATTCATGTAATTCAGCATTTTATTTTTTTTGCACCACTTACCGCACCTTCAAGTTGGAGCATGGAGTCACTGTTTATGATGCACTTCATTGCAATATGTAAGAATATAAACAGTCACAATACTGGTACATGTTGTGCAGCCCTACTAGATGCCACCGTTCAAGCTTCAAAAAAAACTGTGCCGCACAAGTGAAAACAGGATCATCAGGTGGTGAGTAACCATCAAAAATGTCCACAATCTCAGTGACCACACCACATTCAAAACCTCAGTGACTCAAAGTGAAGGGAGATCAGTGCAGAAAAAAAAATCAAAGACTGCAACAGAGACAAAAAACAGAGGAGACAGTAGGAAGGAAGATAGGTTTTAATGTTTCATGAATTCAGAAAAAGCAGAGAAAAAGTCAACAGGTTGTTTCAGGATATTTTTGCTCATTGAAGAGTCAGAGAGAGAATAAAATCTTTCGACAAGCATTAAAACACAGAGAGAAGAGAACAAAGAAGAAAACCAAAGGGGTAAAGATGAAAGATCAAATCACAGTGCTACACTACCACGATCAGAGCGAAATCAGAGTGAAATACAGAACAGTCCAACAGCTGACAACTCCCTCAGACAGTAAAGCGCTACAGATCAGTCTGCAGATACGCAGGATTAAGAGAGGGAGTTTGTCGGTGTGCTAATTCTACAGCAGACCGTGCTCAGACAGTCTGTGTGTAGGAAAGAAATCTGACGGTCAGGCTCAGTTTGCATTCTTTTCCACTTCAACTTTATCTAGGCTGTGTTTCTTTGCACATTTTTGTCATTTTTTTAACATTTTATCTTTTTATTATTTTCTGGTAACACTTTACTGAAGGGCAGTGTTCATGACGCTACACGACACCTACATAAGATCATCATGACAACTGACATAAACCTACACAAACATTTATGAACACATTCATATTGGCATCATTTGTCATTCATGTTGCATTTGCTAACTTTTACTAAGGTGATGTAACATCTATAATCAAAATGATACTGATTATCTTCTGACATTAGGTTGTTGTGACACATTCTGGGGTGAAATCACATGGCCTTTGAAGCTTAGTGTAGTGGCCGTTATATAATGCTGATAATATGACGTGCCAAGTCAGGCTGGCTTAATGAGTTTCATTTTAGCATTTATAAGATTTAAACCATGTCACATCATCAGCATTATGGCACTGTGATATAGAGACTAAGCTACAAAGTCAGTTTGTAAAGCATGCTGTAATTTCTCCCAAAGACGTGTCATGTCAACCCCTGGTCAGAAAACGCTTTATTTGATAAGATGCCATAAGCTGAAGTAAATGACACTGTGCTGTCATAAACATCAATTACACCTTCCTTCTAAGGTCCATAGCTTGGTAATAATGCTTCATAATAGAATTATAAATAGAACAAATGTCACTTATGTCAATGCAGTGTCATATACGTCATAACGTCTCATGTCATCTTGTGGTTACTAGCATAAGCTGGTCAGAAATACTCAAATATTGCTTCATAAATATGTTATTCAGTGCTTATGCAAGCTTTATGTAGCCTTCAAATAAAGTGTTACTGAAAAAACTGTTACCTGACACCTATTGGAATAAGCCACTATAAATGCTTATAAAGGTTTGTGCCCGTTGTCACGACAGTCTTACGCAAGTGTCTTGTAGCCCTATGAACACTGCCATAAAATGTAACAGTAAAGTGTCACCTATTTAACTTTACATCCCCACCCCACTTCCCACACATTGCTGGGGTCAGTGTGTGATGCCCATGGCTGGCACGCTGAGTTGCCCTGGTTTGAAGGGAAGCTTTGGGATCAGCTGCTGGGGGGCGGAGCTAAGTTCACGACTTGATGTTGAGGGTGCGGGCGGACCTGTTGTGGTGCCAGTCCCTCAGCCTGGCATAGCGGGGGCTCTGAATCTCACTCATGAACTTTTCCCTGCCACAGCCAGCACGCAAACAAAGAGAGAGAGTGGACAGCATTGTGGACAGCACCGTGGAGGCAGAGGACATCCAGGGAGGATGAGAGACAAACAAAACACAGAAATGGAAGAAGAAAACACACGGAATGAGAGAGAGTAACCGAGAAAGAAGACTGGGGAAAAAATTACAATACACAGTTTATGACTTGTACACCTACTAATGCAGCTAAAAGGTTTCTAGGAAGGATTTTGCAACATCACATTTATAAAATCGCCATTCCATTTTTTTTTTTTATCCTGTGGGATTATACTACTGTAAATAGAACAGGTGTAGCCTCTATGTGTAACTTGGCTCCTTTGAAACAAATCTAGTCCTATTTACAATTTGGTCTAATGGTGGTTGAATAGCAGCACCCACTGCTGGTCAAAGATGTTAACTGTGTGGAAGCTAAACTCTTCTTTCGCAAATCACAATTCTGTTTGTGTATCCTTCCATTTCAGATTCTCACATTTGAATTTGGTGGACAGTTTCCTGTGCACTGTTAAATAATTAAGCACCAAAGTTGCCAACTTAACAATACAATACTTTTCGAATTACCTGCCATATGAACAATCTTTACTCATTAATATATTACGCAATCTGGGTTTACATGAATGGTTTGGCAAAAATTACATGTATACATCTTTCCATTTACTCCAGATGTAGTCGATCAACGAAGACATGTCTGGTGTCCA